CTCTCTCTCTCTCTGTGTCTATCTCTTGCACATTCGTCCCAGATCCGGCAGGACACAAAATACAATCGCTCAGAGATGCCGCGCACCATGCATTCGTTGACAAAGAGTGAGACCAAGAGTAGGACAAGGTGCACTCTGCGACAAACATGATACAGAAAAGCTAACCAAACCAAACTTGATCAGGGTGCAAAGGACTTTAAGAACTGAGGGTGATTCCTTGGTATACGTTAGTATACACCATGCCGGAAAGGGCTGATGGAGCATTCTCATGTATTGAAAGGTGCCGGTTATACAGAGCAACACACTAACGACAAAATCTGTCCGCGCCGCACGCTGCACAACCAGGAATAACCGAGACTGACCCGGCATCTTCTCACGTGTTCTCGCAAAAAACGTCTCCAGGTATCAAAGAGCTCATCCGGCTCCACAGCGTATCCCTAGAAGTCTGCTGGGCTCTGCAACCGCAATTTGGTGGATGGTTTACCGACTTGAGATTGGCTGTCAAAAAGCCCTGCGAACTTCCAGGCCGTGTTTTTCGGCCAAGGAGGTTCTTAAACATGTGCGGCTCTTCAAACTGCCTGTGCTTTTGTTCCGCTTCATCCCTTATTCCGTGTCAGCCCAGAAGAACTCTGGGACTCCACAAGTTGATAACCAAGTCAAGGAGTGTGGTGTGTTGGCCAAATTTCAATATACTTCAGATATCTCAGAGTGGGTGCAGCATTCAAAATTCGAAAGCGCAACCGCCAAATAAACTCATACATTAATTCTTTGCTTCAATCAACCATAACCCAGCTGCAAGATGCTGCAAGGAATGCAGGGACAGCAACGGATTAATGAGAGTGCATATAGTTGGTTTGGCTCAGCAAATTAGTCGAATGCCTGTTTCGCTGGCCTTCCAAGCTCTGCGATTCGCCCTGGTTTCTTGCCATTTTGACTTCGCGTATATAGTCGTATATTCTGAAGGCTGTTTGATTTGCGGAGCCCAGCTGTCCTGCTCTTCGGCAACATTGGGAGACATGGCCCGTGGCTGTAGGCCTCCCGCCTTGCATCAGGGCCCAGAAGGAAATCGCAGCCAAACTCTGTTTGAATCTGTCTGACTTCTCTTTGCCTTTCTGATTGGGTTCGAATATGTTTGACTGAAGGATAATAAAGTAGTATGAAGTAGCGACTAGTACAAAGTAGGCAGTAGCCACATCAGTCCTCATCAGTCCCATCTTGTGCCCTTGTTTGCGGTGCCTGTGTGGTACATGGCAGGTGCAAGCGCGGCAACTGCCGGCGGCCTGGGGAGAATTCGTGCTGCGTACTTGAAGACATATACGTATGTGTATATATATATATTTATACGCACATATAATTGTATATATATATATATGTGTGTATACATATATACATATATATATATATGTATACACACATATACATATATATAGAATCATAAAAATATGTGCATATAGATAAAATGTACAAGTGGATACGGATGCAAGGCGATCCAGTGTTCATTGAGTAACTGCGCAACGGTCAAACAGAGCCCGGGAAGGTATGACAATCAGGTACTACGGTATTCGAAGGAAGTTTAGAAGTTAAACTTCCGACAATATGGATAGATGAAAAGCAGGGATGGGAAGAGTCAGAGAGAAGAGAAGAGTAGAAGAGAGAAGAGCAGAAGAGAGAAGATCAGAGAAGAGAAAGAGTCAGAAGAAAGAAGATGCAGGTGCGCGAAAAGGTAGGAAAGTCGCGAAACACTGTGTTTTTCCAATTACTTGTGGCTCCGGGGGGTCGAAAAGTAGGCTCGCTAAAGCGGCGGGTGCGGAGCCATCTGGCCAGATGAGAGATGAAAAATTGCACGCCGTTGTGGCACGAAGCACATTTCCAAGTCAAAATGTACAAAGCACCACATGCCCGGACCACTTTTGGAAGTTGCGATGTCCAAAAAGTGCATCCGTTCTGGCGCAAGAGCAAGCCCTCACCCCAACATTTTCGAAGTCCGAATGTAAACAAAACACAACCCAGTTTGGACCACTTTGAAGTTGAGTGTCGAAAGTGCCCGCCGTTGTGGCGCGAAGCAAACGACATTTGCAAGTGAAAACCTAAAAAGCACTTCACGTTCGGACCACTTTTGGAAGTTGAGATGTCGAAAAAGTGCACGCCGTTGTGGCGCGAAGCACATTTTCGAAGTCAAAATGCACAAAAACACACCATGTTCGGACCACTTTTGGAAGAATTGAGATGTCGAAAAAGTGCACGCCGTTGTGGCGGCGAAGCACATTTCGAAGTCAAAATGTTAAAAGCACAACATGTTCGCACCACATTTGGACGTTCAGGTGTGGGTTCACGTGGCAGGCGCAAGGGATTGTGCACCTTGTCAAAAGTGAGCAAAACGTGAAGTTTTGTAGCATTTTCAACTACAACCACCACTAATTACATCACACTACACTCCAATACACTACACTACAACTACAACTACACCTTCACTGCATTCCACTACACTCCAGGACGCTACACTACACTACACTACACACACCACACTACACTAAACTGCACTACACCACATTCCACTACACTACACTACATTACACTACACTACATTCCACTACATTACACTACACTACACTACACTAACTACAACTACAACAACAACAACAACAATACTAGATTTACACTACGCTACACTACGCTACACTAATTACACTACACTACACTACACTCCACTACACTACGCTGAATGACACTGCACTACACCTACAACTACAACTACAGCTGCAACTGCAACTGCAGCTACACTACATTACACTACACTAATGACATTACGCTACACTACACTACACTACACCACGCTACACCACACCACACAACACCACACTACACTACACTACATCACACTAACTACGACTACAGCTACATAAGACTACACTACGCTACACTAATTAAATTACACTACACTGCACTACGCTACACCCCACTCCACTACACTACACCTCACTACACTACATTCCACTACACTGCAGTACACTACACTCAATTACACTACACTACACTACACTAGACTAGACTAGACTACACTACACCACGCGACCCTACACTACACTACACTAACTACAACTACAACTGCAACTACAACCACACCTACAACTACAATACATTACATAACACTATACTACTACAACTACAACTACAACTACAACCACAACGACAACCACAACCACAACTACACTGCACTAATTGCATTACGCTGCACTACACTAGACTGGACTACACTACACTAATTGCATTACACTACACTACATTACACTACACCACACTACACTCAATTGCACTACACTACACTACCCTACCCCACATTGCATTACAGAACAATACATTACAATACACTCATTACACCACCACAAATGCAACTGCAACTACACTACACCAATTACACTACACCATAACTACAACTCCACTACAACTACAACTACAGCTGCGCTACACCACACTACATCCAGCAGTTGTGGGTGAGGTGACCGGGTGACCACTGCAACCATTGCAGCCACTCCAAAAAAACACAGCTCCAACCACCTTTCGGTCCATCAGTGGATTCGCTCTGCCATCCGTGATTCACAACAACCAATCTCTCCTATAGGTTTCCTATTTTTGAAACTTCCGCCACCGCCTTGTGCGGTACTACTGGTACTAGATATAAAATGATATAAACGGAAGCAGTTCTTTGATCCACATTTACGAGACTGCTGAGACAGTGCATGGAACCAGGCCTGTTGCAAATAAATTCTGAAACCATGAAAGCCTTCTTCGGCACCTTTTGTTTGGAAAAATCAGAATTCGCAAACCGTGTTGTACCAAGAACTTTTGAAAAGGATTCTGGAACCCCTGAACCCGTTGCCAACGCTCAGCAAACCAACCGCTGGAAGCCTGCCGGATAATGCATCCAACTGCAATGCTAAACTCAATAAGTTTCAACAAAGTTTCAGGTTTCCTTGTAAGTCTTAAGTGCCTGACCTGACAGTGCACTGGGGCTGATCGGCAGCCTTTGCATTGGACACAAACCAGGAATGAAACCACGAATCAAAACATTGGAGATCCATGGATATCCCATATCCTCATACGTTTTCCGCACAATTACCATTGAAACATGTTCAACACGTATAATATTGTGCCATGTTATGCCATTGTGCTGCCGCAAGTATGCGACAAATTGTAGCTTTGATAGTGAAGATTCAGTGCAAATGGTGCAAAATCTGAGAATCTGAGACAAGCAACCCAGCAGATGGAAAGTGGAGAGCTGTACCACTGCTGGCCATGAGAACTGCGTTACATTGCTTTACATTGCAACAGTGCTTTTACATTTATTCTGGGGGATGTTGGGTGCTCCCTCAATGTCAAATTCTTCTTTAACAAATGTATTGAGCATTCTCCAAGCTTACGTATGCCGCGCATGTGTTTGGCTCCTGTCGTGGCTACATATGCAGTCTCAATTTGTCTGGTCTCTCTAGTTGCTCAAGGTTCCACTGAGGCATCGCCCCTAAGGGGGTGCAACACTTCTCAAATTGGATGCAATTCAGGGTTGGCGACGCAAATTCCATCAGTTCACCACCCTTCGCCATCATCAGCAATTATGTTCGTGTCGCTTGTGTTTTGCTGACGTGTTTTCCGCGAAATTCAAGCCTAAAACCACACAGCGAAACTTGAGAATAGAGCTGCAATATGTGGCAACCCAAATGGCACAGGAGCGTCCAAGCAAGTTGAATCAGCAAGTGCCGACACTGACTCCCAGTAGGGGATGCAAAAGTCACAGAGACAAAACAAAATTGAATCAACTATAATCAGAGTGTATCAGAGTGCAGAGTGCATCAGATGTGCAGAATACAAATGCCTACTGAGACAAACGACTTTGCCCATCAAGACTCCACCCACAAACTGGGCAAAATGGGCAAACTGAACTGCAAACACGCCGCTTTTTGCTTGGGTTTTGTTTATTCAGAGGGGTCCAGGATGTGAAGGGGCGCTCAGATTCCCAGCTTCATGAGGTTCTGCTTGTGCCTGGCTCTCCGGAGTTTGCATGCCCAACCCTACACAAGTTTTGAACATATTCGCATATGGGGTCCAATGGAATCACACATGTGGCCATGTTGCGGACTTAGCAATCGTAGCAATCTATGTAAGGGGGTTACCTGAGAAGGGGGGAATGAACACCAGCTCTCATCTGGTGGTGTTAAAGAGGATTGAAGTTCATCTCACATACCACTTTCATTCCAGTCTCCTCTTGATCACCCACAACTTGCAAACATTCCCCATAACACCCTACAAATCGGAGCCATCAACTCTCTAGTGTCAGATACCGTTGCCAGATCTTTCACTAGGACTCCTTCTTGTCATCTATAGCGATGTCCTTTAGATCCTTCCTGCTGGTGAATTCTGTTACATAACAGCTATGTCGTGCAGTGCATCTACAAACCAACGAGCCCTCATACCATCCTCCAAGTCTGAACCTCGACTCTCTAGTGTCAGATGCCTTTTTCAGATATTTGACTGGGTCTCTTCTATTGTCTCTGTACTGTACGTGTCACTTGGCCCGTCCTGTCATGGGGAGCACTGTCCTATGGATTCGTCCCGTTGGTGCTGTGTCGTGCGGACCAAGGGGGGAATCGATACCTACTGTCACCTGTTTGCCTTCTGGTACATAGCCTTCCAAAACACCTCTGCCATGCCACCCCCACGCCAATGGAATCTGTGGAAAAGTGCCCGTACGGCAAGGGGTCCCCCCAGACCCCCTATTCTCACTTCGTTCGCAAAAAGCAACGATCCAGCTCATCAGGCTGGCTTTCGTGATTGGGCCATGGCAAAATATTTTGTTGCAGGTGATCAACTTTTGGTTCATCTCAGTTCATCTAGGTTCATCTTAGGTGCATCTTGACTAGTAGCCCCATTGGGAACAACTGCTTCGACCTGAACTCTTCTGCCAGCGCAGTGTTCAACATGGCAGTGCCACCTTGAATATAGAATCTATCTCGTTGGCTTTGAATACATACTTAATCCACGCAAGTTTTGACGGAATCTCATACCACGAAAGGCTACGAAAGACATGACCTCCGATCCAAACAGGTTGCCTTGGAAAGTAACCCTGATTGCGGGCACGAAACCCCGCCCACTCTCAAAGTGGAATAAACAAGAATATCCAAACATAATGTTAACTGATGGAGTGACTTGCCTCTGTCCGTACTTGCGATTACCCATCAACTTCACACATGCCAGCTGTGCAACTCGGAAAGCTGCTCGTGCTTTCCTGAATGTGAACAAAGAAGAAGACAGAACAAAACATGGGGACCTGTGCAAACATTCTTTTGTTTCCCAAGACTGCATAGAGCCTATGGTTGAAAAACCAAGCAGTTGTCCTTTGGTAATTAATCAGATATGGCACATTTTTCCCATCGAAAATCCATTGGAAGGTAGTAAGACCCATGTCTGTTCATCTCACTCTGCTGGCCCCTGTGCTTGATGTTGTCCATTGATGCGTGCATGCGCGCATCCAAACACACCTTACACATCTTGCATACACATTGCCCCCACCAACGCTTGATGCAAAATTCCGGAGGAATCTACTGCAGTCTGATGAAACAGAATCTCACAAAAAACAAACAAACATTTTTAAAAAAACAAACGAACGAACGAACGAACAAACAAAACAAAACAAACAAAACAAACAAAACAAACAAACTGACATACATTGCGAATCATTGTGAGAAAACCCGCCCCTGCTGGAGGTGCAAAGCATTTTACATTGTGTCGCATGAATCCGTCAACATCGTCAAAAGCGCTGCTAGCTTTGGCGAGCTAACCCCTTTTTGGTAACAAGAACCACGCGGTTTTGAAGTGTTTTTTCCCTAAAGGGCAAAAATCAGATCATTTTGGCGTTGGGGGGAATTTTGCGGAACTTGTGGGGTGCGCTGAGGCCAGCTTGGGCCTCAACACCGATTTAGGACTACATTGGCCCGGAATTCATGCTTTTGATTTGCAACATTGCCGAAATACGTATTTGTTGGCATTGACAAGATTGACCGTTGGACACGAGCATCTAATATACAATCTTTTGGTGCAGTCTTCGTCGCAACGCGACGTGAATGTGAGACACTGCGATGCAAACTACAGAAAATGACAGAAACACCATGAAACAACCAGAAGAATCAACGGCTTTTCTGTAGCCAAGCCGCGCAACGTTTCTTCCGAGGAGAATTTTCTCATACATACCTCCAAAGGGCTCCAAGTTGTGATTCAAGAGCCATCGTTTCATGTCCATCAGGTGCCATGTGTAGGACTAGACTTCCACGAAAACGTCCTCGCAAATACACGCACACAAAGGCAATACTAATACTAGATAAAGAACAAACAACTCTAGACTCTAGACTTCAGTTTGGCAGAACAGTTCAGAACAATATGATTCCAATATGAACAATCCCCAACCAGGATTCAACATCCCCAGGTTCCTCAACATAAGCAACATTGAGCAACAGTGTCATCCAATCCAATGCATTGTCCCATGGTATCCCACGTCCACCTCACAAATCCAATCCAATGCAGCCACTGGAGATGTCGTAGGGTTTGACACAGGCACAGGAGGTACCTTAGGCGCAATATGGCCTTATTCACAAACATTAAAAAACAACAAACAAATGTGCAACGTTGCTGCTGACGGTCCCAAAAAGGAGAGCATGGGATGTCAGCATGAAATCAGCACTGCCATGTCATGAATCACAGATGTTTGCTAAGCGATACACAGAAAAGTAGTGCACATTTAATTTAATGTACTGAAAGGACAACGGGGGAAAACACAAGTAGCTTGCAAGTACCGAGTGCATCCAGATTGAAGTCATATCTCTGTTTGCAACCCTGAAGGTTGCCATGCGGTGACACCAACCAAGTGTACGATGGTGTACGCGTCCAAAAGATCTAAGCAGATTGAGCCTCATCGCTATCATTCGTCTTGGATGCTAAAATGTTGATTATGTTCTTTGATAAGAGGAAACAACTTGACTAGCGTGGCTAGGAATCCAGGCGGCTGAAGCATTTGGCAGAGAAGAAGGGCTGCACCAGCATACAGTGTCAAATGCTTTCAATGTTTCAAGTGCTTCGAAAACAAACACCTTAAGTCACTAGCCACTAGCATCATTAGCATCAGCAACAAACTGGAGATGTCTGGAGATGGGCTCCAGCAACAGACTTTGCCTGGCTTGAAGACTGACTGGCCCTGGCCGTGATGCAAAAACCTCAGCGGAAGCAGGACATGTCTTCATTCATGATGGCCACGTGTTAAATTATATATATAATTACAAATAAATATAAACATAAAAATACATATATATATATATACATATATACTATGACGGGACATGGCGCAGAAGCTGTTTTGGATCAGTGAAAATGGTCCACTTTCCGGGGCCGCAAGAAGCCATGCACACCCCTTGCGCTCTGGCAGCGTGCCGCCTTTACAACGCTTATGTCAGGCCGCTGTTTTGCATGCATCTTGGGAGAAGTGTGTGGCGTGCACTTGTTGCCGTCCATCCCGTCCGCGCGCTTTGGAATATACTATAGTGTACGGCCAAAGCGCTAAAAGGGACGTAATCCCTTATTTACATGCGGGTTTGAGGGGCGGAATCGGGACGTATGAGGGGCGTAACCACAGATACATGCGGGTTGGAGGGGTGTAATCGGGACGTAGGGGGGCGTAACCACAGATGGGAGGGACGTAATCCCTTATTTGCGTGCAGGTTTGAGGAGCAATAGTTTCGGGTAGCGTGGTCTCCTTGGAGTTTGTCCACATGGGGTTCTACACCCCTTGCCTGTTTTCGAGCCACATGCCTTCCCAAACATAATCCGTTGCAATTGGTTCCTCACAGCTCGGTAGTGGAGAATGCGTTTGGCTGTCAGTCGGCTTGTGCTCAAACGGCGCTGCCACCACGGCCCGCTTTTGGGGCCGCATCCGCATATGAGCCACCGTCGAAATTTATTGTTTACGTCAAGTGCGTCATCAAGTTAGTGAATCCCCTATCGTTTTACAGGCTTTCCTGTTTTTACATATTTTGACAATTATTTACCTCTGTTTGAGCATAGTTTTGAAGCGCGTCCACTTGGATCCTCATCCCTGGCGATCTTTGTTTGCGTGCGTTGGAGCGCACTTGTGCTTTTGCCCGTGCCTGTCTGGTCCTCCTTCGCGCTGCTTGGGCGGTCTCTTCAACCAGCAGGTCTTTTGGAAAGAAAATGGGTTTTGGCATGCTTTGGCCACTCACAGCTGCTAACCTCAAAATTTATCCAGCCGGGGCCCGGTCACAAAACTTTTATCCATCACTACAACATACTACCAACATCCGCCACCCGTTCCGCCTGTTTTGTGACCAGTCGGTCACCCGGGGCGCTTTTGGAAAGATTTTTGGGTGTCGTTTTTGGGTATCGTTCTGCCCGGGCTCCATTTTGCAAGTCACATGCGTGCGAGACTGAATGAATAGCTCGCCGCGGTCTACCAAAGCTAGGCCAGGCAGCAAAACGAGATACTGCATGGAGTTGGCCACTCCAGCTTGCCTACGCTGCCTGCGAATAGATGCATGGTTTCCGTAATCTGAGCTACTCGGTGCCGAGTTTAAGCAGCCCACCTAGGTGGCTAAAGAAATGTAAAGTCATGCAAAGTCAACCCACCGCATGGGCACACCCATTCATGGTGAAGTGGATCCAACCGTGAAAAAACAACCCTGCCTAAGCAAACACTATGCCCACACCACAAAACGCGCAAGCTTGCGCAATCAAAAAACGTATCGTTTTTTTGTGAGTCCCCTATCGTTTTAGCAGGTTTCATGCAACAGCCAGCATCCGATGCAACGGAATCTAATATGAAAAATGCATTCTTGATGGTGGTCCCTCAATGTGAAACTTGGATGAGGCTTTGTCAAGCCCATTGCCAGGAAAACAAACGAAAGGTTCCAGAGTCTCCGCTACTCACTGCACGCAGCGGGTGGCTGACGGTGTATGCAACACCCTGGTGACGGGAAACGGGGCCGCCATTTTGGAAGCCTTTCCTTCTTCTGGCAATATTGCGGCCCCGTTTCCATTTTTGGGACCACGAAAGAGCAAACAGGAGCTGCTCGACGGTCATGACGGCCCGTATTTCGTCCATTTGCTGGCGCCAGCCTTCCTTCTGCAATGCAAGCCGCCATGGACACACACACACACACATCCGTATAATACTGTATACATATGAATTTATATATATTGTATATATAATGGACAATTCAATCAAATGTGAAACGTCATTACAATTGATCTTCGCACACTGGTTGAAACATGTCTAACCGGCCGGAACCGATCAAAGGCGTCGAACAGGTTGACGTCGAAGTCTACAATTTGCAAATTCTGAAGAATTCTGAAGAATTTGCAGATCGAATCATGGATCTCAGATGATCTCAGCGATCCAGCTGCGAAGCTAAGGCTTTTACAGTCACTGGGCCTGGCCTTTGGAGCGGCGCTGAGGCCTGGTGCACCCAGGAAATAATAAGAAACATATTGAAAACATGATTTTTCTGCCACACCGCATATTACGACGATGAATTAGGATTAAAATAAATATCAAATAATATTGATATATTATGATATATGAAGATATTAAATAGTAAGGATTGGGGTATAAAACATGATAGACGTATCCTGTTAATATTGATACAGAGATATCAGAGACAACGCCTTCCCAACTACCACTGCTGCATCAAATGGTTGAGATTGTCAAAGGATGTTAGAGGTGTTATTTGATTTCTGTGATACATGTACTCTCACAAATTGCTCTGACGTAGTGAGGCTGATCGGGATGAAATACCAAGATCTACCACGAATCTCTTGCGGCACAACATCCTCAGTCTCTGACTGTGAAAGGAAAATAAAGAAAATACCATCACAGCAACACAACACAGTGATGCACCGCAAGCAAAGATGGTCGGGTGCACCGCCAGGCCAAGTACACCCTCAGGCGCTTTCCTCAACATGTCTTCCAAACGAATGAGATGGCTTGTGCAAAGGTGGCGTTACAGCTCTGAAGTACTGTCATCTAACAATCTGACACCAGAAGGTTTAAACCCGGCCATAGGTCAATGGGCCCTTGTGGCCCTTAGGGTGCTGACTTCTTCTTTTTCGGCTGATTTGCCCGCGCTGTTTCTGTTCACGCCAGAGCAAGGGGAACCCCCTATGAGGCATGAAACTCAGCAAACAAAGAGAACCCCAGGAAAAGAAAGGCATAGTTTTGAACTGTTTGGTGATTTTTGAATTTTAAAACTTGCATAAATTTGCAACACCAAAGCAGTGAAAGCTATGAGCAAGCCATGGCAAGTCCATGGCAAATCCGTGGGCCTGGTGGGAGTGGGTTTGCCAGCTTTGCTAGCGGGTCCCCACCTGGACACGGCGGATGCGCATGGACTCCAAACGGATCATCAATATCAACAGGTTGTCAACATATTTCAAAATCATCAAATAAATGACACATCAGTATTCATCAATAACACATCAGTATCAATGAGTATCAATGACACATAATATGATATAGTAATATAATGTAATATAATGTAATATATAATTTGTGTATACTCTCCATGGCAACTGGACTCTCCAGAACTCTCCAAGGGTCTCGGCCAGGGAAGTGGATTGGCTGGTGCCGAACTTCCTCAACAAAAGGTTTCCCGACTTCAGCATAAAATCTGAATGATCAGTGTTTTGGAGCGTGCACTTGAGATACTTGAGGACGTTGCGCGTATTACATTCTGTAACGAGCGTGACATGATGTAGGGGAACCAGGGGGAACCAGTTGAGTGCAAGAACTTTCTGCTTTCAGTTGCTTTCAGTTGCTTTCAGTTGCTTTCCTTGATTTTCCGTGATTTTCCTTGCCAATTTTTGCTGGACTTTTCCTCAGCTCTCTCGGTCCTCAACTCGGACATCACTCCCGGCACTAGCTCTTGACCTCGAAGCATCGAGTCAATGAGATCAACGAGATCAACGAGATCAACGAGCAGCATTATCAGCATTTAAACGCATTCAAAATGAGACGACAAACATCGACACGTGTGGACTGGTACTTTGACGTGCGTACGTTTTGAACGATTCGGGTCAGTTTCGCTACTGCCTTCAAAGATCTTTAAAGGCTAAAAAAAAGTCAACAATCGAGGACATTCAAGGACTTGCGAGGCCATGTGCTCATGTGCAGCTGCTAAGCTGAAGCACCAGGGAGCAGGCACTGCCTTGAATTGCCTCCTGTCATCTCTTGTCTACTCTGTCTACTTGTCTTAGTGTCTTTAAATGTGTGTCTTAATGTGTCTAGGGCATCCACTCACCGCGCTCTTCAAATCTGCCTTCCCGCTCCTTGGCCTTGACCAAACCAGTATGGATTCACTGTGATGTCAAAAGATCTGAGAAGCTTCTCAGAAACTCCCTAAATTTGAAACTTGATCGGATTTGGTCATCAATAGTCCCTCTTGCACATTCAAATTCTTCATGTCTCTTCAGTGCAGTATCTGTTCCTCCTTGGTTCAGGACTTCATTTGAACAATTGAACACACTTTGCCCCTGCCAAGAATATGCGCTGTCATTCAAAGCCGCTAGAATGATCATCAGAACCATTGAAGGTGTGTTAGATTAAAATGTTCAGGTGATAGGTGCTTGACGCTTCTGCCACCAATTTCCACAATGTCTTTCTCACGATCCATCGTCTGCTCCGTGGGTGAATCTGTAGCACGACTCGCAATTACTGGTCCATTGCAATCTGCTCACTCTGTCGTTATCAACAGCAATACAACTTTCAATCATACGTACATAGTCTGTATAGAATGATTTCAGCATTTCTTCTCCCGCCCATTGAGATCTCGGCCTCATTCTCTCGCCTGCGGTCTCGCCTTTAGTTGAATGAGCTTTAGAGGGAATCGTTTGGCAAGCGCAAAAGCTGGACTAAAGAATGACAACAATTGTGTCTTGCCCATGGACTTAAGCACATGACAAATCATCGTGATGATATGTGATGATGACGTGTTATGATTACAAACGATTAAAGTGTACTGTATGTATGTATAACTACAAATGATTGTCAGTATTTACCAACCATCGTAAATATTCTGAGGCAATTGCCGACCATCTCTTGCGTCAAGGCTCCTTGCCAGGAAAACATCGTCAGAGTGAAAGGTCATCCTTGAGTCCAGCGGAGAACCAACACGTCATGTTATGAAGGATATGGAAGGATAACATCGGATAACGCATGACAAGGATTGACAAAGCAGGTCAGCATTTTCTCTACTAAAGTAGCAAATCTCCTTGCAAAACAAACTTGAGCCGTGGGTCAACACTACGCAATAATCAGAACAAATGAACACCATCACCTTCCAAACTCCAAAACTTCCCCCTATTCAACAACCTCGAATGTTGCAGAAACCTTCGCTTGTCACCTTGACCTAGAAGCTACAACAGCAGCAAAATAGCCACAGCTTGTTTATCTTCAGGAAAGCCTCACAACTGGAACTTCCCTGAACCTGTACGGAACCCTGCAGAACCTACTGCCAACGCAGGAACCAAAGAACAAGACTCCGACACTTGCAAGATGGGAAACATTGGGAAAACATGGCAAAACATGGGAAAACTGTGTACACAATTGCAAAATGCTACAAACAGAATACAAACAGTAAATGCTACAATACAAACAGGAATTGGTGTTGGGAAACTGGACATGTGGAAGCGGAAAGCGCAACGCCTGCTGCGCCGACGCCTGAGGCTTCTGCTCCTCAACTCTTTCAACTCTTTGTAGCGACACGTCACACGTCACACGTCACCACATCAGCCGAAGCACAAGTGCAAACAGAAAAATAATGAAAAATACCTAAACTTACCCAAACCTTAACAAAAGAATATGATGAATCTAATGTAAAGGTTACCGCAACATTATGCATTTGCTGCATGTTTGCACGGGTGCCAAGTAGTCACGAAACGCCCAACTCCAAACCGTTAAAGTCGACCAATTTAACAGAATTGTGTTAAATCTTATTGGGACGCCGTTGGATCAGGAAGTCAAATAAGTTGACCAAAAGCAAGGTTAACCCTAATGGGACGCCGATGTACGACAAACTCTGTTTTGGAAAAAAATTGCTGTGTGAAAGATGAGGAAACACCTTGTGGACGCAACTCCCAAAACATCTTTAAAGTGGTATTAAATACAACAAAAAACACTCATATACAATACACAGCCAGTGAACGGGATCTGTGGGGTATTATATAATCCTAGTACTAGTACTAGTAAGATCAAGTAAGATGTATCAGGTACTGGTAGGTGGTTCAAGTCAACGGAAGTCAGAGCAACGGTATCAAACCAAAGGGACCCAACGCAACCCTTCTAATCAAAAGTAAGAGTGTTGCCCACCATGTTGCAATCTCACATCAAATTGAATGCATACTTTAGATCCAAAATGGTCAAACCATATAACATAAGATACCTTGTATTATCAAGTTAGAAAGGCCGCAAAGCAAGCAGAGACAGAACAAAATTAACAGAGAGCACAACTTCATAGAACATCTACACATCTCTCAATATGCAAACCTAGGGTTTCTCAACCCTGGCTTGGAAAGAGGGTTTGTTGCAACATTGTCTCCTAGATTACCGAAATGCGCGGCCCGGTGCGGCCGTGTGTGGCCTATGTCAGTCTATGTTTAACTTCAGACTCAAAATCAAATTTTGGGATTCGTTTCAGAATCACTAATTCAACGTCATTCTTCTTTTCAAGGTATGTTCCTGGGGAAGAACTCTTTTATATAAGCTTTGCTAGCATTGGCCCATAAATTTGGTCGCCCCTTGCTTTGACATGGCACGGTTCATCAAGATCGATCAACATTCAAATCATTGTGACATTGTGATGAAATGTGATGATTTCTTTGCAAGGCTGATGGACTTCCTATGCTCCAAGGCTTTGCCCCATTGGTAACATGCAACCTCAAGGGACGCCAGCTACCTGTTTCAACTTAGATCCTGTTCCCAGGTCCTGCATATTTGCTGGATGCTGGCACTTTTGCAAAAGCACGTGTTCCAATCTTACAATAGGGGTCAAAGTAGCATCATGTTGCAATACAAAACAAAATCAACATAATGCATGGCTTGCAATTCCACAAAAATAGCACCATAATCCATGCATCTTTGATTGCACTTGTGCAGCGTGCACGAAAGCGATAGTTGCATCACTTATGTCAACAATCATGGTGGTATAATCTGCGTTTACACTGCGTCATGATATGATGTCATGCCATGTCATACCATGTCATACCATGTCATACCAGATTCTTCGATGTGCCACTCCACCACTCAGCAGCTGTCTCATTCAACCCATTTTTGCATTTCTTTTGCGGCTTGCTTCTGCCCAAGGACGATTCAAGGACATCCAAGACAGTGGATGAAGACAATGGCGCAATCATGCGCAATCTGACTTTTCTGGCTCAACTTCATCAACTTCGATGTTCTGTGATGTTCTGTGTCAACTCCTGCAACTGCCACCTGCGATGCGACTGGACTGTGTTTTTGCCTACGTGAATCCATGATTCTTTCTCAAGAGACACAAAATGCGAAGGTGAATTCAAAACAACAGAATCTGGCCGTTGATATGTGTGGATCTAGCAACGGAACCCCAATGGATCCACATGGATCCACATGGTCTGTTTTCAGCATGCTTCAGCACCAGCCTCTCTCGAAGTTGAGTCCACTGACAGATTGGTGAGGTTCAACGTCCCAGCGCTAGTTCTTTGCTCTTGGTCTCAAATGTCTCAAGTGATGCTTCGAGACGCTTCGACGATCCGCATTGCCATGCTCACCAATTCGGCCACACTATACTGCTCCTCAGATCAGCGATGTTCAGAGGCGGGAAGAGGGACATTGCAGTTGAGATCATTGAGATCAGCTAAGTACGAGTCCGGGGGGTAACTTGCCCCAAAATCTATCAACTTACCCCACCGCATGGCACACCGCTTACCCCACGACCCCAAGAACTTACGCCATGTGCAAATCACCATGGCACACTGGCCCTCACGGACAGGTTTTTGGATTGGTGTGTTATTTTCCTAAGGGATTTGGTACATTTTACATCAGTTCGTGAATTCTTTGACCTCACCCCAAATGTCAAGGAACGCATGGCACACCTACAAATTGTTTTCTATCACCCCAAGTTCTCAGATGTAATTCCCATTGTCGGAACAACATATTTAATCTCTAAGAATGTCATCCATGATGGTTTTCCCCATTGGCACACCGAGTACATCCAAGTACTCAGGTAACAGTTTTCTTTTCTGCAGCCGATCACTTTGCCGATCCAGGTATGTGCACATTGTTTTCATGAAGTTCCTATGCGGACTGCAACGCTTTGTACCGTTTATCTGTCTTAAACCTGACACAAAGCGTTGTAAACCGCATGGCACACCATCAACTTGACCTCTAGAAGACCAGGAGTTCTACATGTCATTCTCATTGCGTTATTTTACGAGATCCTTACGAGGTCTTTACGAGATCTGTACGAGATCTGGATTTTGCAAGGCAAGGCAGCAGGGCAAGGCAGCAGGGCAAGGCAGCAGGGATCTTTTCTACTCTTCCCTTCTCTGCTCTAGGCCTCTCTAATCACTTCCACTCTTCAATTCGATTCTCTTCTCTACTCTTCTGTATATAGTCTCTTCTACTCTACTCTTCTCTTCTACTGTTCTCTCTTCTGTGCGAGTCAAGCTATTGAGAAGCCATCCCCATGAGTTTCTATCTCAAGAAGAATATGTCTCAAAAACATGTGTGCCCCTGTAAGGTGTTAGAAAAATCAATGCCACAAACAATTGATTCATCCAGCAAGAATGACATGTATATCATGGACTTCCCAACGGCACACCGTTTGCGGCACAAGAAGATGACCGCGGCATAAGTTACCACTTTGACCCAGTACGTATCCGTATAAGTATGTTGATTGCATGATCAAATATCATCAACATCATCAACATTCATCAACATTCATCAATCAATCTCAATCGATATCATTTGATGTATGAATTCCATATGAATCCTCGAAATCGTCTGACTTTGTCGGATAGTGCATGCTGGGCATCAGGGTCGCTGCAAGGTGTTGGCGTGCCTGTGCCATGACTTCTGCAGGCTTTGCAAAGAGCTGTTCCCCTGGAAGGCCACGACTACACCACTCCTGTCAGGACATTCGCGGACAGCTTCCAGCAGTGTGCGCATGGGATCGCATGGGATTGCGTGCGTCAAAACACAACTTCCGCTTCACCCTAAAAGAACCAATCTATCCAAACCGATATTCACCGACTATTCGCATTCTCTGATATTCTTGCATCATTTCAGAATCTTGGCTTTGTAAATGGATCGAGGAGCTAGTAGGTTTCTCGTGGCTTCGTGGATTAATCCCTTCCCCCTAGTACTAAACCCCCCAATAATAAAAACTAGGGTCCATCTCTAATTTTGGAATATTTCAGATTGGCCAATTTGACTTTAATTGATCCCCTTCAGAAAACAATTACCATTTGTGGGTTTCGCCCCCTAACAATAAAAACTAGTCAACCCCGGGGTGTTTATTATTAGGGTCCGTCCAAACATTTGTAATTTTTTATATTAGGGCTTTTGATTTATTATTAGGGGCCCGCTTCGAAAACCAATTTTTGGCAATATTTTAATTGCGTTATAAAAGGAAATTTAATTGATTTTAAAATCGGAAAAAATAGTTTTTATTATTAAGGTTTTAAATTTATTAATAGGGCCCAAAAGAAATTTAATTGATTTTGAAATTGGAAAAATAGTTTTTACTATTAAGATTTAAAATTTATTAATAGGGTCCGCTTCGAAATCCAATTTTTGGCAATATTTTAATTGCGTTATAAAGGGAAATTTAATTGATTTTGAAATCGGAAAAAATAGTTTTTATTCTTAAGGTTTTAAATTACTACTAGGGTCTGCTTCGAAATCCAATTTTTGGCAATATTTTGCGTTATAAAAGGAAAATTAATTGATTTTGAAATTGGAAAAACTAGTTTCTATTATTAAGGTTTTAAATTTAGTAACAGGGTCCGCTTCGAAATCCAATTTTTGGCAATAATCTAATTGCGTTATAAAAGGAAATTTAATTGATTTTGAAATTGGAAAAAATAGTTTTTATATGTTTTTATTATTAAGGTTTTAAATTTACTAATAATTTGCTACTAGGGTCTGCTTCGAAATCCAATTTTTGGCAATATTTTAATTGCGTTATAAAAGGAAATTTAATTGATTTTGAAATCGGAAAAATAGTTCATATTATTTTATAATATTTTATATTAAGGTTTTAAATTTATTAATTAATAGGGTTCCCTAATAATACATACCCCCCTAATAATAAAAACTACCTGAGGTGTTTATTATTTGGGGAGGGGGGGGTTTAGTATTAGGGGGAAGGGATTAGTGTTTCTTTTCGTTCAAAGTGTTTGCTGTTTCTTTTCCACTTGACACAGGGGTGGCAAATGGAACTGTACAAGCCAATGACCTCCGCTCCACACATGCTCTGATGTGGTGGTTTGGTTCAACACTGGCTTGCAGTTCATACTAAATCGGCTTTGACAAAGCTGAAGCAATCTAGTGTCAAACACATGACTTAAAGTGCTGGGATGCCCATACTCTGCTATGAAGGCCAGGGATATGCTGCCACGTGAGGTGGTAAGTTGTGCCGTGCCTCCTCCGTAAAGATAGTATTGGCTCCTGCTGCGTCTACTTCGCAGTTGCTGGCCCCTGCACATCCATACGCCTGGAGTGGCCCAAATCTGTCTCGGTTCTACTTGACAGACTTCAATGATGTCAAAGTTTTGTCAAAACTTATAAAATCTTGAAAAAACTTATAAATCTATAAATATATGAAGTGCACTGGATTTTTCTCCACGGCATCGTCCGCTACTACCTTGCGAAGCAGAAAGGGCCTTGTACCCAGGACAAGTGTTGCCGCAAGCACAACCTCAAAGATCCAAAGATCTCAACGCATAGGAAGCAAACGCTTGCATTTTGAACAAGTTGCTGTAGAGGGAAGATAGTTTCTGTGTTATTCGATTTGTCATGGCATGGGGGGTTGAATTTCTAGATCTGGATCCCTGGCCCAGAAGTACTGCAGGATTCACTAGGTCTCGGGGATCTCTCCCATGTCTTGCTGCTTAGTCACCACATTCTGCGCAGCAAGCGCAATCAGTCAACCCTTCCGTGATGTGAGCTTGACCACACCACATCTCCTCACACAGCGTGCCACTGCAAAAATTCCCAAAAAAGAGGGACAAAAAATCCCAAAAGATAGGGACACAAATTGCAAAACAGTGCCTAAAGAGATAGCCCAAAAACATGGTAGAGAGACATGCTAAAATATATCTGTTATGCAGTTATGCATTTGTTTGTTTTTATTTCTTTATGCTAATTTCATGAAGGGTATGTGTGGATGGTATTCCTTCTCACCTCTGCAGCCTCCAAGCCCTGGGATCTTTGAGAATCCTTGAGCACATTTTCTCACAGTATCATTATGTATTATTAATTATTATATATTATTATTATATATTATTATGTCTCATTCTTGTGCTCAATTCTATCTATTTCTATCCATTCTATCTCATTCTCTTGCTTTTCATGGCTTTTCATGGCTTTCCCCTATGCACTTCCCAGGTCCACTCCTCAGTGTATCTTGTGTTGCCCCAAACCTGGGATTCGAACACAGAATCTGTGCAGGTAAAACAAGGTAAAACGAGGTAAAACGAGGTAAAACATATACAACATGTGAATTAGCTCGGTGACACTCTGTGAAGCACTGAGTGGGCCAATTCTGCCAAGCAACAGAGGACTCCAAGCAGTCTGGTGCACCTGCGCATCCTGGTGCTTTGTAGCCTGAAAAGGGGTTGTCATGTTGTGTCTTTTATGTCGACTTTTGTGTCGACTTTTGTGTCGACTTTTGTGTCGACATGTGTCCACTTGGCCGTCCATTCAATCACATCTCAAAACCTGATGGTGGACAGAATCTTTAGCCGTTTCTTCCTTGACGCTTTTTTGAGTCCTGTGCCGGTATCAAACCTGCTTGTTGTGTCTGGATGTGAAAAATCATAATGAATCCACAGATCCTTGCTGGTTCTTGTCCTTGCCCTGTAGCCCACCTGCGCAACTGTCAGCACAAGCGCAGCCACATTTGGAGCAACATTCGCACTCACCTGCAAGGCAAACTGAAAAACCCAACAGCTTTCCGAACACACTTGATGGATTTCACAAGGAAACGAAGGGTCCCAGAGTCCCTAATAAGCACAGAAATCGGAATCTGAATAAACACAATGAGGGTAGTAGCTTCCTGCGTTCCCCGCTCTGAACAAACTGCAATAGGCAAAGCTAGTACAATCTAGGATAGTATACAGTAATATATAAATCAATATATATATACACTATAATTAGTATGTATAGCAATACCACTAGCATAATAGCTAGAGAGTTTGAACCACAGTGTGACAGCACTTCAGACAGGAGTTCGGTTCTGGACAAATCTTTGTGGGCATGCGAGTGTACCCTTTCCACATCTCCCACACTGGCCGGGCCCAGCCTGCACTATGAGCTATTCTGAGCAGCAGAAAGCCAATGGCCAGCATCACGTAGAGGAAAGCAGGCAAAGTTCCAGTTCTCTGGATGCTCGAACAGGAAAAAACATGCTGCAGCTCCATTGTTTCATGTTGTTTCAATTCGTTTCTTTGTTCTTCTTGATTTTTGTTGAACTTGTTGATGTTCCTGCATGGCTTGATCCAAAATCATCCTCCTATTGTAACCTATTGTCGCATCTGCCATGCTCCTATTGTCACATCTGCCTCCGAGACTTGAAGGTGCTAAGGCATGACCCTTCGTGATCCGTCTCTGTACATCTACATTTACATCATTTACTGTAAATTTTATTAAATTGTGTAAAAAAAATAAACAAAAATACATCAAATGATATCAGTTGATATCAGTTGATATCACATCCATGTCCTTCCACTTTGCACAAGCACTGCAAGCACAGTGCTATGCTGTGGCACTCCTTGGACGCTCTCGCTCTGTGGGCTTTTCGGGCCTGCGACTGAGAGACTCTTGCCCTGATGCAATCTCTTATCATCTCTTATCTATTGAATCTATTCTTATCTCATCGCCACGCTGACAGATTTGTGCTTCAAACATCCAAAGAAGCGCTCGGATCTTATCAAAGATTTTGTGAGTCTCCCCAAAAGAGATTAAACAAGTATACCAGTACCGTGATATACCGTGATATGCCGTGATATGCCGTGATACAAGATGGCCTTGCCTACCAGATTTGGCCACCTGACAGGCTTGGAGCGCAAGTACGAAAGCCAAAACACCAAGTCTGAAGCAACATCTGCAGGACATCTGCAGGATGGCATTGAACAAAGAATGATTCAGTAGGCATCAGTATGGCCTCTGCTGCATACGCACATGAAATTCGCATGTATCTAGATATTTCATGATATTTCTAGATTTTACAGTAGATATAGCTGCTACATGCTGCTACTAGCTTTGGATCATTTTGGATCAGTTTGGATCCCTCTTTAGCTTTGACATGATGTCATTCTGTCATTCTGGTCGTGGTACCTTGGTCACAATCGAATTGCTCGTCATTGAAATCATAATCAGGGTTTTCTGTTTGGTACTTTACGACACATGTCTCAAACATTATGATACCAGATACCATTCTAGCATTCTAGCATATTAAAATATATTAAATTATATTAAATAAGTATATTATAGTACATTAAATAAGCATATTATTGCCTTTAAAATCGTCACCGCATCCGCAGGAATTCCGGATCTGTCAACGTTAATTCTCCGCCTGCGATGGCAAAGGCCTAGTCTCTCCACCGGGCACTTTCTTCCCCTTGCGCTGCAAAATATTGCGTCAATATGAGTCAATAGCCAAACAAGATCGGTAGATTTGGGCATACGAGATCATACGAGTGTTATGAAATAACATGAAATAACTATATAGAATATTTTAGAATATTTTAGAATATGTTAGAATATTTAAGAATATGTGGTAGATGTTGATAGATGTTGATAGATGTTGATAAATGTTGATACGATGTAGTCTGTCAAGCCAGTCTGCGGTGCTAGCAGGTCGTCTGCGGTGCTAGCAGGTCTTGTAACTTGCTCTCAGAGATGCACCTGTGAGTCGACCAGGCAAAGAAGCTGTACTTCTGAATCGTAGACAAAGTACCTGCCAAGAACCAATAAGAGTGGAAGCTTCATAGCCAGGATGAATTGGTTTAGTGGAAACAGGAGGATTGTGTCGCCGCATGGGCTGCAAAGGGCAAAGGGCCCCAAAGCAAGTGTTGTGAGAATCTGATACTTGGCACACTTCTTGTAGTCCAAGGTGAAGAAATAGGTGCTATTTGGGTCATAGTATAGCTGTGCCTGTACCGCTGTACCGGCAAAATCTGGCAACATCCGGCAAACTTAGAGCAAACAGCTGGAGCGTTGTGGATTTGTTTTTTTTCAGCATTGTCCCTTGATGTCCCTTGTCATTCCTTCTTTCAGGTGTTGGAAAGGCAAGTGACAAGCGTGAGAACCTTACCCACGCAACAGCTCACGCGTTCAGGAATCATTGACAAACTTGGGATCAAGCAAATTGTTCAGCTTTTGCAGGTGTCACCCAGGTCACCCATTTATCCGTTGAATTCCGTTGATTCTCATTGTTTGATCAACAAAACCTTTGCTGCCTTCACGTCCTTGTAGAAGCCTGACTCCTGGAGATTGGCATTTGTTTCTTCTCTTGTCAAATCTCTTGCATCTTGCAGAATCTTGTATGCATCATCTTCCCTTCATTTGCACTCTCTTAACATTGTGACATCATTGTGACTACAAGTGCAACTTGCCTTATCAAACTTGAAGCTGTTCGATGACCTGGAAGGCAAACAGAAGCTTTCAAGCCATGAGATTCCATTGCTAGCTGCTTTGACATTGACTGCTTGCATGAAAGAACTGGACTGTGCATGCCGGATGGATTTGAACGCACGTCAGTCATGACTCAGTCTTGTAAACATTGTTGCTCTTGCTACTTGTGGAAGACTTGGCAAACACATTACACACAGGTTTGAACACATACCAGTATCATCTCGTATCAACTCTTCATTGCTTGAATGGTCTTGGCAGTTCTACTTCTTTCTGACCTCTCAGAATTTGTCGTTGAGATCTCCTCATACTTTGGAGTTAGGCGTCGTCTGACAGTCTGACATGCTTCGCATCTTCGCAAACTGGCTGATGCTCAAAGAAAATTGTAAGTGCAAAAGTACACCCAAGCACCCAACTGAACAGTTTCCGTCTGTGCAATGGATTGCATGTAATTGGCCTCAAAATCCATCTATGCCCCTGAGTTTTGAAACCGTGTTCTCTCTGTCCATGCTTCCGGGTGCTATGAGCGCTACAGTAAAATCACACCGGCATTTGATGAAACATGCTGAAAGTAGAAAAAACATGAACAATCTAAGTCATGAAACTTGAATCGCTTGAATCCTTCTATGTCTCACTCTAAGGCAAGCTCCCACATGGAGCCATTCACTCCTGAGAGTGCCTTGGGCACGATGCTGAGACAGAGGTTGCTCTTGACATGTGATGACTTTTGCATTCATTGTTTGATTTTTAATTTTCTGGTGTGTAGCGTTTTGATAGATTGCGCAATTCAATGAACCTTTCAGGATTGAGCTGCGCTGCATGTCTCTTGAGGCATGGAAAACAACATTCCCCAACAGGGCCCAGCCTCATTCAATTTAGCAAGCATTCAAAAGCAAACAGTAAAAACATTTTGGAGCCAGGCCTTGCTGGTGTTTTCATGCCTCGGCGAACATTAAAGCATATTATATAAATCGCAGGAAGCAGGTGGTACGTTGCAGTCAGGAAGTTTGCCTGCCTGAGGTCTGTGTTTCCACATTGAAAGTCCGGTTGTCTTACTTTGGTTACTTCGGTCAGCTTTGACTTTTGCAGTATCAACTTTGGCATCTGCTGGATCTGCTGTTGCTGAAGCTTTTCAATCTCTGCAGTCACCTGGCAAGCTTGGGACACGTAAGCCGGTCGTTTCCAAACCAAAATTGTCATGATTGCCTCTCTCCGTAATTCAATCGTGAATGAATGACGGTAGTTGTTTTCTACTGGGCAATCATTGCGAATATGGTATGACACAAGAAAATGCATTGTGTTACAGCACAAAGGCACCCAAAACATGTTTTTCTGCATTGGCGCTCTACGATCCCCAGTCATTTTGACCTGGGGTTGAGTTGCATCTTGTTTGGCTTGGAATGTTTGTCCCACCTTTCCAACTATTACAAATGGATACAAATGGATGCAAAATGATGCAAACGCTATCCAATCTGAAGCCTATAACACCCTCCCAATCAATTGAGCTAGGCAAACACTACAGGCCGAATTTGATGCTGAGCTATGCTAAGCTCTTCAAACACGCTTGAAGTGCTTGACATTTGTCTGCAGAAGACTGGCTTCATATTCTCAAGAAGACAAAGACACCTCTATTGACCCCACTCTGAAACAAGCCTCAAGACTCAGAGTCTCCGCGGAAAAATGCATGCAACTTGGCCAGGCGTCTACTGAATTGGACGAGTATTTGGAAGCAGTGTCGGCACCGCTACAGGAGATCGCCTCACAAGAAGACAAGGAATTTTTGTTAAAAACTGAGATGAAATGAGCTGAAATGAGATGAAGAAAGAGATGAAATGTGCAAAACAAATTAAGAGTAATACAATGTCCTGCAGTGTTCTGGGTTCCCTCGTTTCCTGCTCTCCTCACCTCCTAAAAGCGCCTCGGACTTTGAAAGTATACCTCAGTGTAGGGGAAGAAGCGAGGCCTTTAATTGATTGTTTCTCAACATTCTGTGAAATTGTCGACAATGTGACATTGCTACCTTTCTGCAGCAAAACAGTGGTACTGTGGGCTTTGTGAAGCTGTCACTCTGAGACTCCGGCAACCGATCTGGATGGTGACAGAACCGGCCGTAGCCTCAGAGGCAGGACTTTTGACCTTTTTGTTTTTACTCCCTGAAAGCCAAAGCATGTCATGCATTGTCATGCCAAATCAAAATTATATAGCGCCTTTGAACAACGTTTCATGAAGGCAACACCAGTGTGATTCATTGACATCCACGCTATATGATGTCACACAATGTCACATAGTTGTTAGAAACCGAGTCAACGCCTGATTCCGCCTGATTTTGCCCTTGGGCTTTGCTTTGAGGACATGACCCGTTCTGGGGTCCAAGGAGTGATTCTTGAGAAGCCTCCCAAAAAGATACCAACGTATCAACTCTATTCAAAACAATTTTCATTTTGTTCAAATGAATATCGATTGCATGCAAAACTGATGCAGAGCTCTGAAGTCACATGTGACACTCTTCATCTTGACGAGTGCACGCTGCAAGCCTTACTGCAAACCTCATGCCTTTGCCTTTTGTTCTTGCTGAAAGAGAGCGTACAAGAAAGATCGAGAAAGGATGAACCGGATGAAACTAGTTGACTTTCGAATCTTTTGATTCTTTTTTTTGAACATTTTTCAAGTGGATATCGTTGTTGAAATTTCTAGGGTATCCTTTTCGATCCTTCTTGCCTCGAACAACATTATTGGTTTATCTTCTTGGCGCTGCCTCCTTAGAAAGGCCGCCTGAAAGGCCCTTGCCGCGACTTTCTAATCCATGTATATATACATATAGAGAGTGGGACGCCACCAGGTCCCAAAAAATACGTAGTTTTAAGCGTTTTTTGGACTATTTTTTGTTTTTTTCATCTTTTGATCATATATGAAAGATCAAAGTTCTTGGGGGATGTACTGTTTTTGGTTTGTTAATCCTTAGCTCTATTCTTGATTGTTTGTTTTTTTGTAGCTCTATTTTTTTTTGATAGGTGGTCTTAGTGCATGAATGGCAAACTTCTTTCTTTGCCCAACAACATCTTGAAACATAGAGATTCATTGTGTCAGTTGGTACTTCATGTATATATTAATGTATAGGTACTACCTAGGTACACAGCTATTGCAAAGACTGTATATATATATACATACATAGCACGTTGTATTTGCATTGGTGGTTTTTGATATTGGACTGCCAGGTCGCCTTTTGGTTGACATCATATTTCCAGTGGAACTCTTTTAGCAAATGAAAGTGCAAATTCCAATCTACTCTCCCTCCTCAAGTAGTTACATTTTTTTTGCATACTTCATGGTAACTGGCTGCATCAATGAAAAGCAAGGCAGCCATTCTATAGATACAGTTGTTTGGTAAGGTTGCTTAGGTGTTTCCTTTTTTTACTTGGTCTTGTGCCCTTCTGGTTAACATGATGAACTTATGTATACTAACATAGTTTAAGTTCTGCCCGTAGCCATGAGTAAATTTATGGTAATAAAAAGACAGCCAAGCAATTATGGCAACAGGATACCTGGATTAGATATGCAGCGGCATAGCAAATTACTGCGAAATATACAGGAAAAATATTTTTGGAGAAAGTGTAAGCTGGAGCTGTCCTTGCCATGTGCCAACTCTTATGAGCAAAATCAGTTGCAACCCTGGAAGAATACCATTGCATATGCAGGATAAATGTAGAACACTTGTGCCTGTAAGGGCATAGGTGACTTATATGCCACCCATTTTCCAATCTACTGTTCCTCCTCAAGTAGTTGCATTTTTTTGCATACTTCATGGTAACTTGCTGCATCAATGAAAAGCAAGGCAGCCATTCTATAGATACAGTTGTTTGGTAAGATTGCTTAAGTGTTTCCTCTACTTGGTCTTGTGCCCTTCTGGTTACCATGGTGGAATGTATACTGACATAGTTTAAGTTTTACCCACATCCATGAGTACATTTATGGTAATAAAATGTCTGCCGTTATATTTGCTGTGACACAGCAAATTACCATGGAATATGCAGGTAAAAACGCCTTTTCTGAAGCAAGGGGAAAATGGAAGTGCCCCTGGAATTTGCCAACTCTTGTGATCAATCAATAGTTTAAGCAAAGATTTTTTATTGCATTGAAACCTGAAAGAATACCATTGCATATGCAGGATAAATGTAGAACACTTGTGCCTGTAAGGGCATAGGTGACTTATATGCCACCCATTTTCCAATCTACTGTCCCTCCTCAAGTAGTTGCATTTTTTTGCATACTTCATGGTAACTTGCTGCATCAATGAAAATGGTAACTTGCTGCATCAATGAAAAGCAAGGCAGCCATTCTATAGATACAGTTGTTTGGTAAGGTTGCTTAAGTGTTTCCTTTACTTGGTCTTGTGCCCTTCTGGTTACCATGGTGGAATTAAGCTGACATAGTTTAAGTTTTGTCCACAGCCATGAGTACATATATGGTAGTAAAAAGATCATAAAAGCACAGCCAAGCAATTATGGCAACAGGATACCTGGATTCGATATGCAGCGGCATAGCAAATTACTGCGAAATATACAGGAAAAATATTTTTGGAGAAAGTGTAAGCTGGAGCTGCCCTTGCCATGTGCCAACTCTTATGAGCAAAGTCAGTTGCAACCAAAGGGTCTTTATTGCAATCAATCCTGGAAGAATTCCATTGCATATGCAAAGTACATGCAGAAAATATGTGTACGTATTGGTATGTGCTACTTATGTACCATCCATATCATAGATGCATACAGTAGTACTACCAGGAAAAATGCAAGTCCATCAATGTATATAGGAGGGCTATATATTAGGGCTAGGAGCGGGGAAAGGCTCATTTTTTTTTGTCCTTTGCCACGTCTCCCCTAAGGGAAGCCATATATGTATACACACACTATGTTTGTTTTTCCTCCTTCCTTTTCCCTGGAGACCTTCATGACTCTCTGGACATTCTTTGGCAACCTCTGAGGAAGTCTGACAATCTGTGTAGATCTCTAGTAATATCATAACATGTATATGAACATAAATGACCGAACAGGATGTAACAAAAACACTGCATTTCCAGAAACGTGGAAAAATGGGGTCCTCACAGCGTCCCTTTCTGTACATATATAATTATATGTATATTTATATTCATGCATGTAGGATCATGAATCATGTTGGATCATTTCTTTGTATCTTCAGATACAAGGCCCTCGCCTCGTATATCTAGACGATGCTGCACATCCTTTAAGAAATGGTTCATACACTTTGAATGACATTGAATTAAATAACATGTTTAAAAACTACACATGTTTGCAATGATACTTCTCGTATCTTCTTGTTGGCTAGGGCTGGTCTATCTTGCAATGTCTACGTGCAAAGGTGTCTGGGACACTTTGAGACTAATGACTAAGGACCACAAGACAAACACTGTGATTTTTCGTTCTCGCAATTTCTCGCATGTCTGGTCCTTGATGTCCATTTATCACAAAGCCTTGCGTGCACTTGGAACATTTGGAGACACCGTAGGAACCTGATGAGGAAGTGCAGCTGTGCAATACAGACAGGTTTCCCTTGCAAGTTCAAAAACTGGCAACCATTGGCAACCTATGTCTTTGAACAGTCCTGTTTGCAAACCACGAGCTGTTTCGACCATTGGATTGCATATGCGACGCGTCGGTTGGGTGACACTATCACTATATCTCAGATGGAATGTCAGCTGATGTCAATAGGCATCTCTCTTCCAAAAGGTCCTAGCTTAGCCAGTGAATGCTCCTTCCCGCAGCATCTGGAAAAAAAACGACAAACGCTTGGCACTTACTCACTGCAGGACTGCTTTGTGGTAAAGCGACTTGACACTGACAGACATGACAGACAAACCAAAGCAGTCACTGAGATACAAATTCTGAACCTGCTCCAATGATTTTGCATGCAGAAACCTTGCCTGCACGTAAGTAGAAGTCCCATCTGGAGGGCGGAGACTCGCCTTTGTCAATAAGTCAATAAGGGCCAAACCCCTTCTTTTTCAAATCAAACAAGTAAATCAACGAAGATTTAAAGGTACAGTATTGCAAACATATTTGCGCTTTTGGTGTATTCAATTTCAGTTTATTAATATTTGCAATATTTTAAATTTCAAATGAGTCAACAAACTTCTGCCAAATTCTGCCCAGCAGCACTTGGAATCGCTGGCTGATTCGCCTGACTGCGTTCTGCATGGTCAACGTTAAACATTCACAAGTCCTCGTTGACCGAAGTCTAGCCGACACTGACACGTGGACCCCATGGGCAATAGAGAGCAATAGAGAGCATCATGCAATAGATGCAATCAAGCATCATGATAGTTGAAAAATGATGAAACAAACAATCCTGAGAGTATCATGCAATAGAGAGCAATAGAGAATGCTCAGAATGCTCAGAATGCTGTTGGTTGTGGTGTTTCTGCCTGACCATTTGGCGGAGACTCATTTGGATAAGCTTCACCTCGCCACAGGATGCCACAGGCATGATCAGCATCATCCGCATTGGTTTAAAGGTCCGTCAATGTCCACCAAACCCGATTTGTTTGTTCTTTGTTTCTATTGATCCTCTTCGTATGGACACATTCTAGAGATTTGAAGATCTGACATCTTGAGAGACATATAGACGACATGAATTGACACGACATCAAGGCAAAACTCCAACAACCTCTACTGTTACAGCTTTGCACTCTACGTTTCTCTGACCGGAGGTGATCGATCTATCTAATCTACCTAATCAATCTAATCTATCTAATCTCTCCAGCCTAAACAAAACTAAACTAAAGTAATACTCTAATTCATATATAATGGAATCTAAACCAACCTATCTATATAATCTGATGGAATCGAATACAATGAGTTCTATCAAATCAAAGCGAATCAAATCTACAGTAATCTATCTAATCTATCCAACCTATCTCATTTATCTACTCTGTCTAATATATGTAACCTATTAAAATCTATCCCAATACCATTCTATCTACCTACCTACCTACCTACCTACCGACCGACTGACCGACCGACCTGCCTACTGATCTACCTATCTCTCTATCTCTCTATCAACCTAATCGAATCGAAACGATTCTAATCGAATCTTGTATCATATTATTATACTGTAAGATTGTATTATATTCCATATGACATTATATTGTGCTATATTGTATGAAATTGTATCATACTACATTCTGGTGTTATATCATAGTGCATTCTGTTATTATATTATATAATATCATATTTTACTATACTACTATTTTATATTGTATTATGATTACATTATACTATACTATTATATTATTATATTATATTATATTATACCATATTATATTATATCACATATATTATATTATCCTATATTAGATTAGAAAAAATAAGATTACTGTACATTATAATACGTATATAATTATAGTATGTGTTGATGTGTTATATAATGTTTATGATATTATCTACCTATTATCTACCTATTATCTACCTATTATTTACCTATTATCTACCTATTATCTACCTATTATCTACCTATTATCTACCTATTATCTACCCATTACCTACCTATCATCTACCTATTAACTATCTACTCATCTACCTATCTGCTTATCTGCTTGTCTACCTATCTACCTACTTACCTATGTATCACTACCTATTGTATCACTACCTATTTTCTACCTATTATCTACCTATTATCTACCTATTATCTACCTATTATCTACCTATTATCTACCTATTATCTACCCATTACCTACCTATCATCTACCTATTAACTATCTACTCATCTACCTATCTGCTTATCTGCTTGTCTACCTATCTACCTACTTACCTATGTATCATTCTAATCATCATCCAATCTACTCTAAGCTAATCTAAATTAGTCTATATAATCTAATATCCTCTATTCTATCTATGTATCTAATCTAGTAAATCTAAACTATCTATCTAATCTATCTAGTCTATCTGATCTATCTAATCTATCTATCTATCTATCTGTCTGTCTGTCTATCTATCTATCTATCTATCTATCTATCTATCTATCTATCTATCTATCCTTCTACCTTATCGTATCCTATCCTATCTAATCCATCTAATATCTAGTCTCCATAACCCAATCTAATGTAATCCCATGGAATCGAACCTTTTAATCTAATCCAAAGCAATCGAATCTAATCGAACCTATCTAATTCATCTAATCTAATCATGACAAATTGGATCGGACCAAGTTGTTTCAATCAATTTACTTTATCTAATCTAATTGAATCGGATCTAATCTAAACAATCTAATCCATCCAATCTATTTATCTACTGCACCCTATCTAGTCTATCCAATCTATCTAATGTCATCTATATGATTAATATATATATATAATTATATATATATATAATTATATATATATATAATTATATATATATCTTAAAAAAAAAACTAATCAAGTGAAATCTAATGAAATTAAACATGTTATAATGAAAAGAACCTCTATCTCCATGCAAATTTGGTGTTTCTCTTTGCTTCCCTCCAGCACTCCTGCAGTAATTCATCGTAATTCCATGGCCTGCAGTGATTCCAGTGAGCTTCTCAAACCTGGCAAAACCATGCAAAATCCGGCTGCTGAATCGACCATTGGTCAAATTTGAAGTTCAAGATCCCGTCACCGAAGATGATGGATGACACTTGATGACACATGACCATCCCTCAAAATATCTCAAGACCTTGCCAGGTGTGCTTCCGCATTCTCTTGTTCAAGTCCACTATGTGGCTGCTGACAACACGACCAAGATGCTTTATCCTTGGAACAAGTGTTACAATGTGGGACATGGTGGGACATGATGGGAGATGGTGGGATGGTGGGCATGGTGGGCATGGTGGGGCCTGAAATGATTCAACTATTCAACAGTTTTACTTAGTCATCATGATGTAGACAAATAAAGGCCACTCAAAAATGGATCCAGCAAGCTCTCTACCAAACGGCAGCAGCAAGGTGTATTTCAGACACCAAAACATCCGTTCATAGTTGAAAAAGTTCACCCTGTGCTCTCCTTTGCCCGAAAAAGGAACATGTGCTAAAATGGAAAACTTGGGTACCAGTAGCTGACTCAGCTGAAGTTATTTTTTTAATGATGAACAAAGTGCCAAAGGCAGCACTGGCATGAATCTGATCTGATTGATCTGATTGGGAGCTTAGTTCATCTTAGTTCACAGTAGCTGGCACAGGTGAAGTTGGCGAAGTTGGTGAAGTTTAAGCGGTCGACTTTCGCGCATTCAGCATACTCTGCTCAATCGCAGCATCGGCTTGTCCTTCCTCCTCGGCTTCAGTGTCTTGACCGGACATGCGAAATTTAAGTACTGTTGGCTTTCCGCAAATTTCTGCATCTTACAAGTCTTACAAGTCTTACAATTCTGTTTCACATCTTTTTCAAACGGTTTTCTGTCCCTATCACATCTGTGTTGTGGATGGAAACACTGTACCAAGCAAGTACCGCATTCGCGCTGGGGCAGGACAACGATGGGACACCAAACAGAAGTGAAGGAGACGAAATCTTCATCAGCCTGTTTGACAATCAAAGTCCGTGGCTATTGTTTTGGCGCGTCAATGCTCTCCTCAACATCATCTGGCTGTTGAGCAAAGTCAAGGTTCTTGATAACCTGCACACCAACTGCCGACCGTCCAAGCTTTTTAATCACATTGGTGTCACCAGAGTCTTCAACATCATAATCATTACAGTACTTTATATACAGTTATATACGCCGTTTTACTCGTACTAGTAAGTAGTTGCTCAACATTGCTCAACAACTTTTGCATGTCCGATGCCTGCTTCTGCTACAGTACAGTATGATCACACAAACACATTGGCCTCCTGCAAAGCACCCGTTGAGTAAACCAACTGTGGGAGCAGCAGTAGTGCAGAAAAGGCCACCCTGGCACAGAAAAGTGTCCTCTGATCCCATAGCGCCATAGAGACCTCTCTACAGATTCTCTACAGTATGGACTGGAATGAGAGAATCTATGAATATGAATCTACCAAAACATCCAAAACATCCAACACAGCACAACAGGATTGGCAATACCAATACTCCAAAAACTGTGCATCCAGAAGTGCTGCGCAAATCCAGAGAAAGTCGCTTAACATGCCAGGCAAACAAGAAAAGTATCATACTCCGAGGATGCTTTCTGCACAATTCAATGGCCTGCGTGCTGCCAGGGGTTGAAGGGCTCCATGCCATGAAATAGAAAGAAGTACCATGAGATGACGATTACTGTAATCCGATTGACCACAGATAGCCACGATACGCAAGGCCAATGCAAACTTTGCTGCATGTTGGATCCCACACAATCCAAGTCTGTTTTGATAGATCATAGATTGCCATCTTTGCATGGATTCTTGCTTGCCAGTGAACGCCCTTGTTTGATGAGCAATCGCCATCTTGACATGGATTCTTGCTTGTCAGTAAATGCCATTGTTTGATGGGTAGTTTTATATTTTATACTCATGTTCCAGGGAGGTTGCGATTGATTCAAGCTGTGTTTCTGTACCACTTCTCTCCAGAGAATAACATGAATAAATAAATTAAAATTGTATAAATTGGTAGCCACCTGTATCAGGGTAGGAATTGGGACTTTGTCCCCTGTTGATATCTGAATGGCTGAAGTTTGAATTCACCCGCTGGAGTCCTTCTGGAAGGACAACGGCCTAAACTCCTCAGTGCAATACCTGATGCACGCAGGCATTTCTCAAACTGGTCCCCGAGCAGAAACCAATACCCAAAGCCTATTGGAATGTTGGGAACAAGATTATTTTTTTCATCAACTGCTTAACATTTCGGATGATAACATAACATTGCACAAAGTGCATGATAAATGCCAGCAAAAACTGTACCCTGTGCGACTGTCCGCACAGCGCGGGAATGTGGATTTGAGCCAGTCGCGTGTACAAGTGTCACTTTTTTGCGCGAATAAATATCTGAACATGGGAGAAACAAAGACATGCGCTAGTGCGCATGTGCACGTGCGCGGACAGACTGAAAGTCCAAGTGGCGTGCGTGCACGTGCTGTCAGCCAGCTGCTGTCAGCGCTTCCTCTTTTCTTCATCAAAAACAGGGGGTGCCAGGGACTGTTGAGAGCTGCGCCGACAAAAACGCTCGCTTCAGCTTGCGAAAACCTAGTATGTCTGCGAGTCTGCGTGTCTGGCTGTCTGTCTGTATGTCTGTCTGTCTGTCTGCCTGCCTGTCTGTATGTGTGTGTATGTGTCTGTATGTGTGTGTGTATGTGTGTGTGTGTACGTGTGTGTGTATGTGCGTGTGTGTGTGTATGTATGTATGTCTGTCTGTATGTGTAAAATGTAATGTAATATAATGTAATGTAATGTAATGTCAGTATGTCAGTATGTCAGTATGTCAGTATGTATGTATGTAGGTAGGTAGGTAGGTAGGTATGTAGGTAGGTAGGTAGGTATGTAGGTATGTAGGTATGTAGGTATGTGTGTATGTGTGTATGTGTGTATGTGTGTATGTATGTGTGTATGTGTGTGTATGCATGCATGTATGCATGCATGCATGCATGTATGCATGTAAGTAAGTATGTCTGTATGTCTGTATGTCTGTATGTCTGTATGTCTGTATGTCTGTATGTCTGTATGTCTGTCTGTATGTCTGTCTGTCTGTCTGTATGTATGTATGTATGTATATTAAAATATATTATATATTATATCTTATATATTATATATTATATATAATATATAATATATTATATATATAATATATATTATATATAATATAATCCCTTCCTCCTAATACTAAACGTCCCCCTAATACTAAAAACAGGCATCCATCTCCAATTTCCGAAAATTTCAGTTTGGCCAATTTGACTTTTAATTGATCCCCTTTAAAAAACAATTTAAAAATCAACCTACCATTTGTGGGTTCTCCCCCCTAATACTAAAAACTAGTTCACCCCGGGGTGTTTAGTATTAGGGGGGCCTAGTCCCAATCCCTCACTCCAAGCTGCCTGGCTACTCTAGCAATTAGGGGTAAGCTTCGAACTGCCATTTTTGGCAATATTTTAATTGCGTTATATAAGGAAATTTAATTGATTTTGAGATCGGAAAAAATAGTTTTTAGTATTAAGGGTTTTAATTTAGTATTAGGGGTAAGCTTCGAACTGCCATTTTTGGCAATATTTTAATTGCGTTATATAAGGAAATTTAATTGATTTTGAGATCGGAAAAAATAGTTTTTATTATTAAGGGTTTTCATTTAGTATTAGGGGTAAGCTTCGAACTGGCATTTTTGGCTATATTTTAATTGCGTTATATAAGGAAAATTAATTGATTTTGAGATCGGAAAAATAGTTTTTACTATTAAGGGTTTTAATTTAGTATTAGGGGTAAGCTTCGAACTGCCATTTTTGGCAATATTTGGTTCCCTAATAATAAATACCCCCCTAATACTAAAAACTACCTGCCGTGTTTTGTATTGGGGGGGGGGGTTTAGTATTAGGAGGAAGGGATTATTATTTATAATAATAGTATATTATATATTATATATTATATATTATATATTATATATAATATATTATTTATAGTAATAGTATATTATATATTATATATTATATATTATATATTATATATTATTCATACCCAAGAAGATGTACATGCATGCAATATGACATATTGTCATACGCAGTATGTATATCACATACAATGTCACTCTTGGTCCAACCACACATCAGTGCCGTTTGAGGGTCTACTCTACTAGGAATTTCATCAAGGGCATGTATTGTATGGATGCCGATTCTTGGCACATGTACCCTTCGGGGTGCTTGTTAGAAAAGCTGCGAGGCGCCAGATTGAAGGAATCCCTCTTGGCCAAGTATTAATAAATTACAAGCTCTGCAAAAAAAAGGCTGGCCTCTCTGGGACACAATGTTACAGGTTACAAATGCTCCGTGTGAATCATTACGTTCCAACAGTTGCCTCTGGGATGAGTTGATACATGTGGATACATTATTACATTAAACATCACTAAACTGAGGTGCTGTCAGCCAGCTTTCAAAGAAGGCCAACAGCAAGAGATAATAAAAGACACGGTGGGACACTGATTCAAATGACTCAAATGACATGAGCTGCTTGGGAATGATGTTGCAAGGCCTTTCGCTGCTTGCCCAGTTCTAAGCTGTGTGTCTTGGGCCGCGACCCACCCAAATCTGGATCTGCCTCCAAATTTGTCACACAGCCGTATATCTAGCTAGGTAGAGATACAGTACATTTGGCATCATTTGGGATCATTTGGCATCATTTGGCACTCCAAAAGTGAAAACACTTATAATATATATATATATATACTGTATATGAATTATTTGTGAATCTATGGTATCACTATGACCATGACGTCCATATCTTGTATTACTATGACATCCATATCGATATCCAATGTATTCCAATGTGACAATCATTAATTAACAACCTTTGTGGCAACACGTCGGAGCTGGATTGGCGAGAAGGCAGGGACATTTGAACTTCATCGGCACTTCGGCATACTTCGGCCACGTGATCATCAAGACCATCAAAACCACCAAGATCATCAAGCTTCGCGACACATGCAGGAGGGACCATCTTGGAAATCTCTTTGCGGATGTCCCATGGAAACTTCGACATGCCTCAAACAAGGCAAGCTTTCAGCTTCACTGTGATCTTTTTTGGCTCCATCATTTAAAGACTGCCTTGGGGCAGTATGACTCTGTACAAGATCGTATGACCGTATAATATGGTATAACTATTAACTATGTATACTGTATAACATTGTAGAACTATGTATAACTAGTACAGTATCTGCCCCTCTACTTTATATAGACGCAAATCAGAGGGAAGAAGAGTTGATTGAGAACATTTCGCATGTGCTCCGAATCGGAGACAGCTGTGCTGAGAACAGGACATGAGAAGGCTTCAAGCAACTCCAAGACGAAGTACTCGGAAGCCGCTTCACGTGGATCATTTGTGCACACCAGAAACTTCGCCACGAAACATTTATGGAGCCCGAAGAGACAGTCTGCAAGACTCACTGCAAGACTTAAAGGCTTGAAGAGATAGAGCTGGCCATACAAAACATTAAAATAACAGAGGTAAAGCTCCGAGCAAGCTACAATTTCCTGAATTCTATGGTTTTTGCAAGCAGAACACATCTCAGGGCTTGGCCCCCTTCAAGGTGTCTTCCCAAGTTTGAAAGTCGTCCTTATACCAAGACCACATAGCACAAACCTTAGAATCTCAACAGGTCACAACAGGTCTCAGTCTCCTGGTGAGAGCGGTGTCATCCTTTCTATGAAAACCACCAGTTCTGTGACACAAAAAATGGGACCATGTCAGGGCTATGTCGCCAGATGTGCTTGACGTATCTTGTGATCTGCTGTGCAGTCACCTCCTTACTTGTGCACTCTCACTAAGCCTCCTCATGTCATGTGCATACGACTTGAATTCAAAGCGGTTCTCTCCAAACAAAGCCGCATGTACAAAGTCAAATTTGTGCATCATCCTTGTATTGTGAGGAATGACAGCAGATAAAACCAAAACCTAAGTCCATTTGAAAGTGTTTATATGTTTTTGGCGAATCTGGTCGTTCCTTTGCACTCTCTCCTGTGCATGGCATTTCTTCCGCCTGAAGAATCATAAACCACTTGTTGCACTAAGGCAAAAGCATCTCGTGATGCTGGAAGAATGCCAGAATCCGCCGCATGGAAGGACACAAGGGTGATCCTGCCAATTCTGAAAATGTCTCCATGTGTCTACAATGTTCAACATGATAGAATATGAACAAGAAAGAACGTCACCAACATTTGTGAACAACCGTTAAGCATCGTTAAGCAAAACCAGACCGCAAAAGTCTCTCCTAGCATACAGCGCAAAGAGCACTGTATGAACGATGAAATTCTCCAACCTCAGTGTTCAGAATTTCCGAATATATGAGTTTTCCCTGTCAAATCTGTCAAAATATGTCAAGAGTTTCTGCAGAAGTCCTGGGGGAAGAAAGCAATGGCAGTTAAGGCTCCAACCGACGAGCACCTGTCGCAGACTCACGCGAAGTTGCTGCGATTGCAATGCTTTAGCCAGTAAGCAGTAAGAGCAGGAAGTAAGGGCTGTTGAGCGTTGAGAAACCACTTGACATGTTACAAGCACAGCGGCTCACCCCATCAAAATTGCGCGCACTAACAGATCCAAAAGGCCCAACGCCGAAACATCTACTATGCCATGCAAATGTACAGTCCAACATCAGACTTTGGTCCCCTGTTTTGTGGAAACAATGTGACGGTCTTATTCTGTTCCCAAGCACACGCTTGCTCCATTGATGTCATGCACCTCCATCACGATAAAATCATAACGATTCAGCAAACAGATTTCCGTGATATTATATAGATGAATTTAGAATGTAACATAATGTAACCAAAATAAGCTGCAGTCAGTGTGAACATCGCCCCTTTTTCATACGGATTTGATTTCACTGGGACTTTTGCAACAGACCTTTAAAGAACGGTGCACAGCTATGCATCAACATTGCCAGTGGCACTTATAACTACCTTAACATGTACAGACTACAGTAGCCGAAAATGTGCTGCAACGCGCAACAACCAGAACCTCAATATGTGTGCTCCTATGTCAATGTGCCGGCACGTGTACAAAGTTGGAAAATGGTTGGCCAAGCTAGAAGCTGAAGTGTAAGTCAA